ACCAAACTAACACGCGTAGCGCAAACGAAGGATTTAGGGATAATAGTCTCCGAGCATTACAAGCCAGGCAACCAATGCAAAGCTTCAGCACAAAGGGCTAGAGGTCAGCTATTTCAGTTGCAAAATACATTGAGAAATCGAAAGGCAGAAGTCGTTATCCCACTGTATAAGGCACTGGTGAGATCCCACCTAGAATACTGTGTCCAGGCTTGGGCACACTACCTGAAGAATCACATTCAGTGCATCAAGAAGATTCAGAGGTTAGCCACCCGAATGGTCTCGGGCATGATGGGCAAGCCATATGAAGAAAGGCTTGAAGCGCTAGATCTCTTCTCTATGGAAAGAAGACGCCTCAGGGGTGACCTCATAGAAACGTTTAAGATAATGAAAGGATTCACTGCCGTAAGCGTCAAAAGTTTGTTCACTCGAACCCCCGTAGAGGCCACTAGGGGACACAGATTAAGGCTCTTAAAACCAAGGGCTCGCCTCAGTGTGTGGTTTACCTTCTACACGAACCGATTGGTTGATAGACGGAATCAGCTACTACCTCACCTGATGGATTGTGCGAGTACAGACGATTTTAAGAGGCAGTTAGACAGGGTTTGGACCCAAATATACCCAGAGGTAGTATAGAAACAAGGTCTGAAATTGTTTGGGGTTGACATGCTATTTGTTTTCCAATTAATCGCCCTTACAGATTTCATACCGGAACCAGTTTCCTGCCGCAAAACAGTTGCAAGACAGTGGCTGAAACGATTTTTGAAGCTTTGGAGAAGAAGCCGTCCTACCGAAGCAAGAATCTGGACGCTTGGTTGGTGAAAGCCTTTACCGTCCTGTGCAACCTGACCAACCTGATCTGAGCCGTAAGTCCTGTGTATCCGACCTGACCTGACCTGAACACGTGCGGAGTTACGAACAGAATTTTATTGTTTCGTAGGTGTTGTGCATATTAAAACAAGCTGTACAATCATGTCAGATAAAAGTGGATAGAAAAGTAAGCCACTACACACGCATGGAATGCTCGCGTCTAATAATTTACTGACCAACTTGGTAAGATGAGATCCTATTCCTCATTTTTATTTCAGCAGAGCTGGGTGCCCACATTGTGAGCATACCGTCGAAGGAATTCTGGACGCTCGATTGGCTGTGGTCATATTTAGTCCTGTGCAACCTGACCTGAACTGAAAGCTGCCGTCACTTTCCTGATCACCAAACTGAATCGAACTGAACTTGCTCGTCCAGTTGTCAACCAATACAAGACGACCTAGACAGGCTCTCAGCGTGGATGTTAAGATGGAGCCTGCCGCTGAACGCAACCAAATGTTGTGTTCTAAGCAAAACGCTCCAGAACCCCCTGCGGCTTACGCTCCCAAATCACGTAGCACATACACTAACCAGCAGAGAAGCCGATGCATTCATCCCTCTGTATATGGCATTCGTCAGACCCCACTTAAAATACTGCGTGCAAGCTTGGGCTCCCTACCGAGTAATGGACGTAGATAGGTGAGAAAAAGTGCAACGGTTAGCAACAAGAATGGTTCTCAAAACCAAAAAGCTATCCTACGAAGACCAGCTTTGGCACGTGAACATCTTCTCTATGCGTAGGAGACGTTTAAGACGAGACCTGATCGAAGTCTTCAGACAAATGAAGCATGGTCATCTGGGCCTCCTACCTCTGAGATCCACGAGAGACCTAAGAGGCCATGAATGTCACTCAGAAAAGAATAGAAGTAGGCTGGACGTGAGGAAACATTTCTTTACCAACAGGGTGGTCAACTTCTGGAATCGCCTCCCCGGAAGACTCGTTCAGCTGATCACAGTGCAAGCCTTTATAATGGAATTAGATAGAGTATGGGCCGAAACATTTCCAGAAGTGACCTAAAACAAAAGGGAAATAAGCTCCCTCTTTTATTCTCCCCACCCTCACGTTTGATACAACGTGCTGCGCATGCTCAGCATGCACACGCAGGAGCGCTTGCGATTAAGTGTACGTAAGTCTCTCACCGATACGGCGAGAAGACAACATGTTCCTTTCTTCTTCAGCCTTGCCAATAACAGACGCGACTCCTACTACATCCGAATCCCGCATCTTCGGACGGTCGCGGAATTATCAACCGTGCTGCTCGATCTGTCTACCGACGAGATGGAGCCAGAATCAGGACGAATCGGGGACGAAATAGGCGCCATCAACCTGGAGGGTGATAAAATAGTCACAACGGACCAGGAGAAGGCCATAATACTAGGGAGATACTTTGGAAGTGTGCTTATGGAGGATAGAGGGTGGGGGCTCAACAGATCCAGACTGTTGAGGACGTAGTTGTGACACCAGAGAGGGTGCGCAGGGTTCTGTCGGAACTCGACGTAAACAAAGCACCAGGGCCAAAAGGGATTCATCCAGCCATCCTTAAACCACTAGCGGATGTCCTTGCTACACCCGTAAGCCTGCTCTTCCAAGTGTCACTAAAGGACGGAGTTCTACTTAGTGACTGGAAGACAGCCACTGTGGTAGCGCTTCACAAGGGCGGTCAGAAATCCGACATAAGTAACTATAGACCAGTAAGCCTCACCAGCATCCTCTNGGAGAAGCTGATTAGGGAACATGTCTGTCGGCATCTACTGCGTTACACCCTGCTAAGTGGGGCCCAGCACAGATTCCTAAAACACAGATCCTGTCTCACTAACCTCTTGTGCTATCTGGATGAATTCACAGACAGGCTGGATGAGGGCCATACCGTTGAGGTTTGCTACCTCTATTTTAGCAAGGCTTTCGACTCTGTGAACCACAGACTGCTCCTTCACAAAATAAAAGCCTTTGAGCTAGGAGGAAATCTGCATAGGTGGTTAACCGCTTTTCTCACAAATCGCCCCTTGCAGTGAGAGTAGGGGAGGCCAGTTCGCAGATCATTCAATTGACCAGTGGAGTGCCTGAAGGTTCGATTTTCGGACTGTTACTGTTCCTCTTATTCGTTAACGACTTGGCGGGGTTGACTAACTCACCTTGTTTCGTCNGGGATCGAGCGGTAGAGCTAACCTAGTGAGCGACATTGAACGGGTGGTTGAGTGGTCAAACGAGTGGGACTTGGCACTGAATGCGGCCAATTGTCAACTATTGACCAAGCAAACAGATCTCTTAGTTGCTACCGGAACGTGCGGTGTGCGATCTATTCTGGATCGAAAGGAGTCGAATTAGAGGAGACCTCATAGAAGCGTTCAAAATTAGGAGGGGTTTCTCTGGGATTCTTCCCGAGGAACTCTTCACTGATGCC